AGAATCCTGTACCATTGCGAGACGCTACGGGGTTTCTACATGAAAAGGCTCGCCACATCGACAGGAACTTAAGGAATGATCCCCCACACCGCAAAGCGCCAAACCATTATAGTTCAGGGAAGAAGAATACGTTGAAAAGGTTTCAACGGAACTCACTTGGGATTGTGGACATCATGCAGAAGACAACCTAAACAATCCAACTTGTGGATGATCCAGGCTTGTTCAAACGTTATATCATCGCTCGGAAGAGCGGCAGCCGCTTCCATTGCCTCATCTCGGAATAACGTCTGGAAAAAAAATTGAAGGCTATTATCAGTTCCGGATGTATGAAGGAACAATTAGAAGCAACTGAAAAATTCAAAATACACATACTTTCCGTTTATTGGTCTCTTTTCGGGACACTAATCTTGCCATAATCCAGTAAAAATGAGTGTGATCACAAGATGAAGCTCATCGGCAACAGAAATGTAGCACGAGAAACGCCTGTGTAAGTTTCAATTCACAGCGCAGTAAAAATCATACGAAGGCGTACATGCGAAAGAAGTCATAAAAAATCAGCAATTCTTACAAAATTAATGGAACTTAACATGGAAAGGACAATGCGGTTCTGAAATTCAAAATATTTCCTGGTAAAATCATAGGAGCCTAATGCTTTCCAGTTCAGAAGAATTTCGAAAAATTGAGCCTGCTTCGAGGAATGACTTGAAATATGGACGAACAGAAACACCAGCTAAAGCAAGAAATAAAGGCTGATTTTACATGAAAGGAGTCCACAAGAATATAAACCGAAAGATCATTTTTGTAAGCGTTCTGAGACATCGCTCAATTAAAAGGATACAAACAGAGAATTATGCCCTATAATAAGGCGACCAAAAATTTGAAAATCACAGAGTTTAGAAGCAAATGTTCCTCAAATTTCTGCGAAATCTTCAGCAGCGTCCACCGCGCACTGCAGCGCACACTTTACAGATGACTAAAAAGAAAGCGCAGTTGTTGTTGCTAAGTAGTTCGTACTCGAGAAAGGGCTGGGGGTGCAGGGAGTAGTTGACAAATTTTACATAGTCAAGTAAATCGTGAACCCACGATCTGGTATTTCCTCAACCAGTAATGGGTCATCATTGCAGAGAATAGAAGATCTATGGGACCGCTGGGACACAAGAAAACGATAAAGCATTATCAATTTGTGAGCTTCACTCTCTCGCGAGGTTCGGAACTTCCGTGGAACTGTTAAGCAGCTTTCAGACTTCGCGACGGCAGCGCTTTGGTCGCGCGTTCGACGCGATCGATGCAGTCGAAAGCATGCGCATCGATCGCGTCGAACGCGCGACCGAAGCGCTGCCGTCGCGAAGTCTGAACACTGCCTTAGACTGCGTTCATACACCCTTTATCCCTGAGATGGAGTAGGCGTGGTATCTGAACATGGCATAGAGTGGGCTACTTGTAGCATTTCGGTTCGAGACAACTGTAATCTTGGTGGGTGTTGGACAAAGACACGACCACAGTTCTGTCAAAATGAAAATATCTCTCCAAAAGCACAGCCACCGCCACGTTTAGTTGAAGTACGCAGCCACGCCTACCACATCTCAGGGAGTTCGGGTGTAAATTGCGACGGGAAAATGGGAGAATTGGCAAATTATGGAGAACGCGCTTCTCCCAGAACGTCGTGTCGTCGGTTCTCCTACTGTTCCTTTGCCAAGTATGGATGCAGGCTCAGTCTCCCAATCGATACGATTTAATTTTTTTAGCTGATCATTATGTCGCGAACTATGAACACGCCAAGTAGGATACATCGGAACTCGAATGAAGCAACCTAACCATTTCCTTGTCTCTTGGGAGAACCGAGCAGGTTCAATGCCCGGAATAGATGGTCAGAAAAAAAATGGACGTAGATCCCATCCCGGTATCAAGCGATGAGATCGCCACCCCTCTTTTTGACCATGTGATTCGGGCGTTGAGGCTGT